GGAGCAGGTGGTGGGGCGGGAGGACTGGAGCAGTGCAGAAACCTCTTCCAATGTAGCGGGTGCGAATGAACATAGAACAGCAGAGGGAGTGAAGTTAGGGGAAGTATTGTAAGGGGAAGAAGAAAGATGAGAGATCTCTTCTCTGATTGTAGAGATCTTGTCAGTGAAGTGAGTTGCAAAGTCTGAGGCGGTCAAGTTAGTAGGTGGAGGAGGAACAGCAGGGCGAAGAAGAGAGTTAAATGTGTGAAATAGTTGTTTGGGTTTGCGGGAGAGTGTGGTTATCATCTATCAGCACAGACTATAAATAACAGCGATCCAACCAATCATGTCTCAGCACAGACTATAAATAACAGCGATCCATCCAATCATCTCTCAGCACAGACTATAAATAACAGCGATCCATCCAATCATCTCTCAGCATAGACTATAAATAACAGCAATCCAACCAACCATCTCTCATCAAAGACTATAAATAACAGCAATCCAATCATCTCCTAGCACAGTCTATAAATAACAGCAATCCAACCAACCATCTCTCCACAAAAGCTATAAATAACAGCGATCCAGCCAATCATGTCTCAGCACAGACTATAAATAACAGCGATCCAGCCAATCATGTCTCAGCACAGACTATAAATAACGGCGATCCAGCCAATCATGTCTCAGCACAGACTATAAATAACAGCGATCCATCAAATCATCTCTCAGCATAGACTATAAATAACAGTGATCCAACCAATCATCTCTCAGCATAGACTACAAATAACAGCAATCCAACCAGTCATCTCTCAGAATAAACTATAAATAACAGTGATCAAACCAATAATGTCTCAGCACAGACTATAAATAACAGCAATCCAACCAATCATCTCTCAGCATAGACTATAATAAACATTGATCCAACCAATCATCTTTCAGCATGGACTATAAATAAAGCGATCCAACCAATCATCTCTCAGCATAGACTATAAATAACAGCAATCCAACCAATCATCTCTCAGCATAAACTATAAATAACAGCGATCTAACCCATCATCTCTCAGCATGGACTGTAAATAACAGCGATCCAACCAATCATGTCTCAGCATAGACTATAAATAACAGCGATCCAACCAATCATCTCTCAGCACAGACTATAAATAACAGCAATCCAATCATCTCCTAGCGCAGACTATAAATAACAGCGATCCAACCAATCATCTCTCATCATAGACTATAAATAACAGCGATCCAACTAATCATGTCTCAGCACAGACTATAAATAACAGCAATCCAATCATCTCCTAGCACAGACTATAAATAACAGCAATCCAACCAATCATCTATCAGCACAGACTATAAATAATAGCGATCCAACCAATCATGTCTCAGCATAGACTATATGTAACAGCGATCCAACCAATCATCTCTCAGCATAGATTATAAATAACAGCAATCCAAACAATCATCTCTCAGCATAGACTATAAATCATAGCGATACAACAATCATCTCTTAGTATAGACTATAAATAACAGTGATCCAACCAATCATGTCTGTATTTTTTTTATGCATATTCTTATACTATTTCAACATGTCAGTATCTTTTAGTATATCTTTAGGTGGCTTTATATTTTGGTTTAGTAGTCCTGCCCCATTTCCAATATATTCACATTTTAAGGTCTCTACTGAATTTTGTTTTAATTCTTTTTATTTATAATTTTGCATTGGAAAAAAAAGATTGACTTAAAAAGACCAAAGCATACACACAAATGATAATGCACATTTCTTCCAAAGAGAATAGAAGAATCAATATTCTATATTGTATGCACTAAACAAAGAACATATGGAAGGAGGGGGAGAGTAAAAAGAACATAGGGAGGGGAGGGGGAGTAATGAAAACATAGGGAGGGGGAGGGGAGTAAGAAGGACACAGGGAGGGGGAAAGGGGGGTAAGAAGGACACAGGGAGGGGGGAGTAAGAAGGACACGGAGGGTGGGAGGGGAGTAAGAAGAACATGGGGGGGTTGAGGATATGAGGAAAACACAGGGGAGGGGAAGGTGCGTAGATGAGGAGAACACAGGGAGGGGGGGTGAGAAGAGACTGGGCAGAGCTCTAAGCAGTATTTGCACTGTAAACCTTTTTTATTTATATAAAGTGTGGGTGAACTTAACCCCTTAAGGACCAAACTTCTGGAATAAAAGGGAATCATGACATGTCGCACATGTCATGTGTTCTTAAGGGGTTAAACTGTATGGCTATGCTGTGGTTCCTGTAGGTTTTGCGTGCATGTGGGGAACGGGGGTTTGGTGGTGGGGGGGCCTCCACTTCCATTTTGCTTGGGGCCCCCAAATTCCTTCAAACGGCCCTGATCTTATGCAAACTATCTGGGACATAATACCACCTGTTGGTTACTGTATAGAATGTTTCTACGTAATTTAAACAATGAGTATTTTTGGTGACATAATGAAAAGCCTTATACCAACTGTCCTTGTCAATATTACAACCTAATTCTTTTTCATATTTAGATATTGCTGAAGGAACAGGGATTGGAGATGTT